ATAAATGTATAGAAGTAGAGCATTTTTTACTTACGAACATTCTGTGCTGTTCCAGAATATGGGGTGAGAGTCCAATAGGCGTCCACGGAACTGTGCACTTGTTTGGTCCCACTGAATTTCCTCTAACATCGCCGGCAGCTGTCCATTCATCTTCCTATCTCCAGCCTCGTTACAAAATGTGGCCCAACGTGAAACAGCAGAAAATACTTGCTCTTCTGAACTGACTAACAGGCTTTCGCTGCGTAGCACACTGAGTACAAAGTCCGCCGGCAGGCGAACGAAGAAGTCGCTGTACACATAACCCTCAAAGTGCACAGCCATGTGTCGGACACAAGCGTCCATCAGAGATCTACTATTAAGAAACTTAGCCATGACCCAGGTAGTTGCGATCTGTTCTCTGTTGAGGCTAGTGATAATTAGGTAACCAGACGTAATCAAGAAAGAGGTACTTGCTGGCAAATAATTTCTTTCCCCAGCTCTTTATCGCGGGAAGTTGCATAATTCTGGCTAACGCAACTACGCCTATTACGTTTTCTTGTGTAATCTTCAGTTCGCCAGTGTAGGCATACTCAATAAGGGAGGTTGCTATGCTAAAAAGAGCAAAAATTGCAAGCAGAATAGAGGAGTACACGTTGAGTTTACCTGAGAGGCACCGTCGGCCATCTTATGACCGAAGTATTACTCCTGAGGCGGTCATTGGCAGGGGCTCGCAGAGCAGGTATGCGAGCGGCTAAAATGACTTTGTGCGCGTGGAGTCGGGCGCCATCCTGAACCTAACACACCGAGGGCCGTTTAGGGAACAGCAGCGGGGGGTTCATTTACCTCTATGGTGAGGTCTGTGAGCTCTTCCTTTACGCGAAGCTTATTCAGGGCTCGACAGCTGCGGATCAACGGATGCTTGTCCTGGAACAATTGCGCTTGTGAGTCGGACATCTCTGTGATAGCGGGAGTAATGAATAGCCATGACACTTTTTGAGGCTGTATTTATAGGATCCACCTCACTTGGCATTCGCGTACACGCTTACCTACTGGCTATGAGTGCTAAACGATAAGTAAGCGGATTCAATTGGGTGACAGATGAAACACGTATGGCGTCGAGTCATGCAATGAGCAATGCAGTATACTTTTATTGGTCACAGTAGGCTGACAGTGCAATCGATTTGGTTGGCACGAGTGGCGTAGGTTGCGGATGAAATTGTATGTGGTGTGCAGTGCCAAATGGCGAAAACTGGGGGCAGCAATTAAGGCATATGCAATGGGTCTTGATCTGACTAAGTTTAGGAAGTTAAAGAAAGTCTAGGGCTTCCATTGGTAAAGAGTAAAAATTGATGTCACATTCCACCGAAACTTTGAATTAGCGGCCTAGACCTTATGAACATTTTGAACTGCAAGGTATTGATAGTCAAATAAGCTAAATTAAACTCAAAAGTGAGCGGGAATACTTCATGACACATTTACTCTGTTAGAAAGAAAAACTTCATGTGTTCCTAACCAGTTAGCCTTCACCTGGAAGCTAGTTCCTACCCGAAAAAAAATAGTTAATTCCTGGGAAATACCAGTCAAATAAATACGCCAACAGACTAGGGCGCCAGATAGGAAATAATTCTACGCCAGACCGACCAGTGAACAATTGCGACAGAATATTTGGGACCCGAGCTCTTATAGCGCTGACGAGGTAGAAGAAAATCTCCCAAGTGCTGAGATCTTGTCCCATTCCGCGAGCCGTCAGAGAGATAAGCGAAAGCCGAAAAATAAAAACACGAAAAATAAATAAAAATGACTGCTGTTTGTTGTTGTTCATAGGTAAGTCTGACAACATTCCAAACAACTTTCCACCAAACAGCATAGGTGATAAGAGAACAGGCCGGAACCCTGACTCAAATGTACTTTAATTTTGGATACTGGAAAATATTGGAAATTTCGACCATTAGGAATTTCCTATAGGGTCCTTTTATTTGCTGACCGACGATTATTGTCGGAGGATATACATTATTGACGTCGAAGTAACTAGAGTTATCTTCAACGCGTCCAGACGCAATTTGGTCTTTTAGTGACTTACATGGATGCATGTCATTTAACTATGAAATATAAAACGCCTAAGAGGAAAAATAATTTATAAAATAAAGAAACTTGGAGAAAATGCAGAAATGACAGCGATTAAGAGGAAGCGTCCGTAGTATAAAATGTTTCAGCAAAAGTAAGGAGACCTGACACAGCGCAATAAAATTGATGGTTAAGAAGAATTTGCAAGATATGTATGAGCTTCAGGCAAATAATAGACGGACAAGGGTAGATATATCTTGAGCTATTCATTGTAATAAGCATGTAATTAGCATGCTCTTTTTTCCACTGAAAAACACTTCGCCTATACACATTTGTGCAGTTTCGTTAGAACATGACCAAGTACTTCGATGTATAGATACGAAACTGTCATTTACGCGCGGACTTTGATCTGCCCCTACGTTGCCAATTG